TACTGGAAGACTGCTATCATGTCTCCCTTAGTCCTTCTCTTCACTAGACTAGCTATGCCCAGTTCTTGCAACCGTTCATCATATGTTTTAGCCTCCAGTCCCCTAATCATCCAGGTTGCTCTTCTCTGCACTCTTTCTAGAGTCTCAGCATCTTTTTTATAGTGTGGTGACCAAAACTGGATGCAGTACTCTAGGTGTGGACCCATTAAAGACATCTTCTGCTAAAAAACCGCTTTTCCAGCAAGGATTAAACTAAAGTCAATGCAAGACAGCAAGGATAGGGGAGGCTTAGTATTACCAAATTGGGATTTATACGCATCAGCAGTAACAATAGCATTGGTGAAGGATTGGATAGAGCTAAAGAATAAAAAAAAATTCACCTTAGAAGGCCATGATTTGCAAGCAGGCTGGCATACATTCCTATGGGATGATAAAAATAAAACGCACAAATACTTTCAAAATCATTTAATCAAAAATTCATTGCAACGATATGAAGCATAAAGATAAATTGCATGAGAATTAAGAGTGCCTGGGAATAAGGTATCATTCTTTTTAGATAGATAGAGAGACAGACAGACAGATAAAAATAATAAAAATAAAAATAGAGGCAGCTTCTGGAGAGAGTTTGAAATGGAGAAGCTGTGAGGTGGAGAAGGCACAAAACATAAGAAATTATATTCTTAACCCATGCTTTTGTCTGCAGAACCATTTTGCAATACAATTGCTACTAATATGAGGTTAAATAGTGTGATATTCAAACCTCTGAAGTTGCACACACTTAACATACAGCTATTTTCAGCAATTCATGAAAACATTGAACAATTTTAAATGAACTATAGGTGGTGCTAGAGTTTATGTTATAATGCATTAATAACAAGGAGGACTTTTGTTTTAACAGCATTTCCTCTTTTAAGTCTCTTTATTGATGAAGCAAATAAACAGATTATTACTGGATGTGCAGATGGACAGGTAACAAGTGTATGCACAGTGTGACTATTTGTAATTTACTGTTATAATATTAGATATAAAATTCATATTTGATTGATCCCGTTTAGATCATAGTTCAATAGTACACACACACCTTCTATTGATGTCTCAGATTAATCTATTTCCAAATGAAAAGGTAATTGACCATTGCCTTCTTCCATGACTTCTTTTTAAAATTGTATCATGTATAGCTTGGAATTCCCAAAATATCATTATATGTGGAAAATAGTTTACTGTTTTTCTCTTTTCAATTTTTAAATACTGAACCCAAAGATAAATATATTAACTTTTTGCATGCACAGTGATTGCTTATTTTATACTGCAATTGTAAAAGGCAAGTTGCAATGTCAGGAAAAGTGAATTTAAGTTGCACATTATAAGCCAATGAAAATGATCCGCTATTTTCTTTATTCTTATTTATTCTTATGTAATTTATGTAGCCTAAACTAAACTTTGAATAGAAAAAGTTGATTGACAAAACATTAGTGACATTTAAGAAATTGAGAATTTTAATTGTAATTATTTTACTAAAAAGATGTGGTATATTATCTCAGTTCAGCGGTCACGTGCTTACTACTAAATTGATATAATAAAATTAAAAACATTTTTACAGAGATTAATGTGGAAACATAAGCTACAGTGATAGTATTTTTTTTTTCTTTCAGCTATGGATCTTCAGTTTGATTAGTGGACATAAGTATCGCTCTGTAATTCATATTAATGTAAAGAAAGAGAGAAAAAAGTTTTACAACAAAATAACAAAGTTCGAGCATTGGGGTAATATTGCACAAACACTTTTCAATTTTACCGGTTAGCAAATAGTTTAATTGAATAGGTGCTGTTCTAATTTACACTTTTTGATTGGAAGATATTAATTCTGTTGGTCAAATATGAAGTACATTAATAAAGGATGCAAAAAACTTAAGGACAACTCAGAAATTAAGGAAAAGAATGTAAATTAATTAAATTTGTTATACCAATGATACCAGAGCATGAAGACAGTGAAGACAGCATGATGTGCTTTAGCCATATTTTTTCTCTCCAAAATTTAAACTAACCCGCATGTTGCTCCAAAATTACAAATGTTGTGTATCTTACTGTAAAATAATTGAAAATCTAACCACAGAAATTGTCCAATGAATCCACACTTAATGAAATGTATTAAGCTACACTCTATTGTAGTTTTCACTAAATATCTTTGTAATCTATTTCTGATATAATCATATCTCTGCATTTTCCAGATCAGATTCAGAATATTTCCCAGGCATCTAATATAAGCAATATCGAAGAAGAAGATGCGGTTGAAACTACCTTTCCAATCCTTAGAATGGAACACTGTGATAATCCAGCAAATTTTGGTGATAAAGAATCTAGGTGAGTGGATTCTTTAACTAAAGTGCAGGCAATATAACAGAATAAAAGAATTGGAACGGACCTTACAGGTCTTCTAGTCCTGTAAGGAGCCGAGGTGGCGCAGTGGTTAAATGCAGCACTGCAGGCTACTTCAGCTGACTGCTAGCTGCAGTTCGGCTGTTCAGATCTCACCAGCTCAAGGTTGACTCAGCCTTCCATCCTTCCGAGGTGGGTAAAATGAGGACCCGGATTGTTGGGGGCAATATGCTGACTCTGTAAACCGCTTAGAGAGGGCTGAAAGCCCTATGAAGCGGTATATAAGTCTAACTGCTGTTGCTATAGTCCAACTCCCTGCTGAAGCAGAAAATCCTATAGCATTTCAGACAAATGGTTGTCCAATCTCTTCTTGAAAACTTCCAGTCTGGAGGCAAGTCGTTCCACTGATTAATTGTTCTCAATGTCAGGAAATGTTTCCTTAGTTCTAGGTTGCTTCTCTCTTAGTTCTGGTTTCTATCCACTGCTTCTTGTACTGTCTTCAGGTCCTTTGGAGAATAGGTTAATTCTCTTCTTTCTGGCAGCCCCTCAAATATTGGAACATTGCTATCATGTCACCTCTAGTTCTTCGTTCATTAAACTAGACATTCGCAATTCCTGCAACTGTTTTTTATATTTTTTAATATGTATGTATGTATGTATGTATGTATGTATGTATGTATGTATGTATGTATGTATGTAACAAATATATAAAGTCACAACCCCTGGTATGCCCAAATATGGGAGGAAGGTCACTACTTCCATTCTCTGTCCATCGGCTCGTCATATATATATATTATATATACATATATATATGTTGTATTTGTGCTGATAAATAAATAAAGGGAGACTAGTATAGATCTATTTCAAGCTATTTAGCTCTTAGCTAGCCATACCCTTACTGGGATATATATGTATATGTATATGTATATGTATATGTATATGTATATGTATATGTATATATATATCTATATATCTTTGTTACATTATAATATATAAAAATAATCAGATAGATGCATATAATATTTGTAATAGTTTAAATGTTACGTTAACTATTAAAGTTCTTGTATAGCGGGGATATTGTGATAATTAAATAATATAGAATGTTAATAAAAATGTGCACTTTATAAATCAGACAAATCAAAACAAAAATCTTATCTTGCATTTTGCAGTAAAGTAATACTATTGTTTGAATTGTATCTCATTTAGGCTTACAGCCTTCCTTTTCTGACCCCGCTGTGAATATTAATTCTAAGTAATTCCCTTGCAATGTTGAGCAGTTGTTAAAAAAAAAGATTTAGATTTTTTTTGGAAGAAGACTAGAGATCTTAAGTGTTAGAAATTCTATCTGTGCGTAATTTCCAGTTCAAAAAGCCATGACATGTAAAAATACATTATTATATATGAGGCTTTTTAAAAAAAGTATGCTTTGTTTTAATGCAGATTTCCTGATGTGGGTACCCAGTATTTGTGGATTGGAAGCTCTACTGGTTTATTCATAATTAACAATGCAAACTTTGAGTTGGAAGCTGCTTTACATTACAAAGGTGGTATATATTTACTTACTAAAGATAATCCATACTCTTTTCCTCTCTTTTAATAAATAAATATTACTTTAATTTCATATATATGAAAGATTTTAATTTCTGTTTGCAGTGAGCGATAAATAGCAATAAACAGTTTATTAAACATTTATTTGTTTCTTAATTTAATGCTTATTGCGTTAGAAAAATATTAATTTGTTTCCCTTCACAAAGATTGAAATTAAAATAATTTGTGTATTATTTTAAAACACATATAAGAAATGAAATGAACTCAGGATTTCATCATTGTTTTAGTGATTTTTTTTAATTTTTAATTTTGTTTTATTTATATATGACTGCATGTGAAGATTTCACTGGTCTTAGTATTCAGATTGCTGGATCCTGTGCTTTAACGAGGAAGGCAGTCAATGGTAAGGTGAGAAATTGATTTTAAAATATTCAATATAAGACAATCCCTTTTAATTTAAAAACTGCAAATTAACTTTATTTATTTATAGTGTTATATATATTGCTTCAAGTTCAAATGGTTTACAAGAACACATAATAAAAATAAAAAAATATAATAAAATACATACATTTTACAATGAATAGATCATCCAACAATACAATATTCAACATACCTAAAGTTCTATCAGTTTGAGTCCAAGACTCTCAGTAATTCCATTACCTTAATTGAGTTTGTAGACTGGAGGGGCTAAAAGTAGAAATTGGCTATAGACTTTCCAACCTCTCTTCTCCTGTATTAATAAAGCCTTGCCTCGCATCATGATATCTGTCCATCAATGCTCTAATTCTCCTCTCCCAAATATGGTCCCTCCTGGCTACACCAGCTGCCTCCCCCACTCAAGCTGCCTTTGAGACTCTCCACTGAGACATATCAATAAAGGAGAATACTCAGGGTTGAAATGAAGGCTCCTTGGTGTTCTCTGAGCTTGCTTGTTTTCTTGCAGGTGCTCCATTACCCCAACTAAGTAACATCATCAGGGCTAAAAGAAAGTAGGGTTAGAGATATCATCCTTTGACCAAAACAATAACATACACCTGTCATGGTTCCAAGTAACACCCCTGATGAAAAAAGACTCGATAATTCCATGATAAATACCCCGATAAGCCAAAGAGTCCCCCTAAGGGGGGAAAGAGGTGGTTAGGCTTTTGATTTTAACCCCCTGTGTTATTCTCATCACAGGTCATGATCTTCTGATGAGTGGGTGGGCAGCCTGTCAGACCTGGAAGCCATCTTTTGCATTGGGCCTTCGGGCCTGCCACATTTAATGCTGTGGGAAATTGGGAGGGGGGATTATGTGGAGTGTGAGAGATATAGTCAAAATAACATTCCTTTCTCAGAGAGTCAAGGACGTCTTGCCCTGCACCTGGANCCAGGAGCAAGCGTCTTTTAATTTCTTGGCTGGAAATTTAATTAAATTTGATTAAATCAATCAAGGTTGTTAAATTTGTGACCATATTAACATCAGGATTTTTCACATCAATCTATTAAAATGTTATAAATAATCAAATTCTGTCAAATCTAATATTTTAAATGTCATTTACATTTTCCCCTATATTAATGGCAGGATGAAGCAATACTTGCTGAACTAGAAGGCCATCTGGCACCAGTAACTGCTGCTGAATTTTGTACTTGGGAGAAAAATATACTTATATCGATTTCAGAAGATAGAAGTTTTAAGGTAAGGCCATTGTTTCTCTTTAAAAAAAAATCTGTTTGATTGCCGACTTATAAAAGTAAAAACACTTAAATATTATAAAATGGAGATTTTTAAATCAGAGGAATAAGCATTATGAAAAGCAACTCATATTAGGAAGAGTATTAGGAACCTGAACTATATAATATCAACAAATATCATTAACTTTTGGTGATTCTGTATTGCTTGTTTTCTGTATTTCTGTGAAATCAGTTGAAAATTTATTGGATTTCAAGAGTGTAGAGCACATCTAGTCTCCTCTGAAAAAGTTGTTGTTTTATATTTGGTTGAGCGATAATGATATTTTACTCTCATGATAATTTAAGCCTTTTAAGTGAATTGTAGCTATAATCTTCTCTAAACATGAGAAGCTATCTTTAATTCCATAGATTAGAAGTGCTAGAAGCATAGTGAATAATTTATTTGAAACTTTGGCTTGTATATTGTTTACAGGGCATCACATTGATTTTTTTTTCATGGTGCTATAAACTGACTATTTAATCTCATGTGTTTTTCAAAAGGTCTGGGATTACTGTATTGGACTGCTAATATATCAATCAGCAGTAATAACAGGTAGGGTTTATAATTCATTACCAACCTATGTTCCTTTTATAAAACAATGTATGCTAGTGTTATTCTTCGCAGAATAGGCAGTTGTTGCAACTACCTATTGCTCCTATATCCATAAGAAATTCATAAGAAAAGGAGTCAGACAGGGATGCCCTCTCTCTCCTTTGCTGTTTATATTAACTTTGGAAATTTTATTAAATGAAATTTGGAAGGACCAGGGAATAAAAGGTTTAAGACTCAAAAATGAANGAAATTGGGAGGGGGGATTATGTGGAGTGTGAGAGATATAGTCAAAATAACATTCCTTTCTCAGAGAGTCAAGGACGTCTTGCCCTGCACCTGGAATGGTGTGACTGGGAGGCATCTCCAGTTGGGACGGTGCCTGATTGGACCATGTGATGGACATGTGGGTGCTAGGCAGGGACTTGAACTTTAGTTTGGGCGGGGAAAACCTGGAAGCTTTCAGATTCGGGTTTTCCCAGATATGCCAATATGACTTCTCTAATAAAATGGAACTTTGAGGAACTTCAACCCTCGGAGTCTTCTTTCGTTAGGGGTGTTACTTGGGGGGTGTTACTTGGAACCCTGACCTTTAAAATAATTCCATATCCCCCAGCCTACAAGTAATGTACCCATTCCCCCAATATGTTCATCAACAACAATCTCTCCCACAGACCCTTTATATGTACCTTTCACCAAGATTTAGCCCTCCTTCTCCCTATTCTCACAGTACAAGAAAAGCCTATTCCTTTTTGGTCTGTGTCTCATATTCTTGGACCAAAGTTGTACCATTTTAACTTTTAACCCATCTTCCCAGATGGATGTTCAATGACTAGAATTCCATTCCTTGAAACAAACCTCTTTATCAGGAAGGGATTTATTTGCGTTAAAGAAAAAAAAAAGCTTTATGTCTGTCTTTCTGCAGGTTTTCTGTTTGCTAAGTTCTATGTTGGAGAACAAAATTGTTTTACTGGAAGTTAACGTTGCTGCTCTGTTGAGATGCCAACAGAATAGCCTCCTTTTAAGTGGAAGGGAGGAAGGCTTTTCTGCAGTTGCAAGGTAAAGGATCATTTCACTTAACCCCATTTAAAGTTCACTCCTTTTATTTATTTATTTTATTTCTGTCATTTTTACTTTTTTAATACAGTTTCTTTGTTTGAAAATGTTTTTGACAATTTCTAAATGTTCCCAAGTCACTGGAAGCCAGGCTGCATATAATTTAATAAATAATAGTAATAAGAGATTAGAATATTATTAGAACTAACTATTAGAATTAGAAGAATAGAGATAAAAGAATGTAAAGATAAATTTAATAACAATCAAATCAAACAAATAACAGTGGAAATGATTAAAAAGTGAGTGAAAAGGATTAAAAACTGGATATCTCCTGGAAAATTATAAATTTGTTTTCTTTATCATTATTAGCCTTGTATGCCATTACATATTTTGTTTTTCAGCTATGAATAAATATTTGAAATGAGACTTTAGGCTTATCTCAGCCACATTTATGCAAATATATTGCTAACAGACAAGCATTTTGTATTTAGGTAACAAATTTTATTTAAAATATTGCAATAGAAAAAACATCTTTTTCACAGCTGTAGGATTGACAAATATGTCTTTTTATGAATGATATTTAGGTAGTCTTCATTTAGTGACTGCCTTGTTTAGCAAGTGTTCGCAGCATCAACACAGTGATGAAAACATACCTTTGCAACCAGTCCTTGCATTTACAACATTCATAAGTCTGTAATGCAAAGCTGAAGTAAGATCACTTAATAACACTTTGCTTAATAACCGTACTACCACCCCGAGTTGTGATCTCAAAACAAGTACTATGTGTAACAGTATTCTTAGTGTTTGGTGGAAAACAAGAAGTGGCATTTTAAATCACTGGATATATTTAACGTAGGTTATCTTCCATTTAGGCTTTCTAATTGTAAAATTGTATAATTTAGATTGCAATATCCAAATAAGGTGAGTAACTGGTGGACAGGGATCTGAAGTTAAAAAAAAAAGTGAATTGCTAAAGATCACCTTGTCAATTTATGGCAGAAAGATTTTGTGATTTCATTGCTTATTCCTTCAGTGAATACCCTGCACTAGTTTAGTACATTTCTATCAAGTAAGATGTGGTTGCAAAAACAAATGAAATGGGAAAATCCTTTGTTTTGACTGTATTTTGAGCTGTTCATAGATCAGTAATATAGGTGATTGCAGTACCAGGAATCTATTATAATCTATAGTAAATTAACCATTTATCCTGAAAGTAATATCTCTAGTATTGCTCTTCTGTCAATTGTTCTGAGTATTAAATATATATCTTTTGATTTGTGGTTTTAGATGTCCTCTTCTTGTGACCTCTCCGTTGTACGCGAAGAAGGAAAAAGTCAAACTTGTAAATAAAACAGGTAAATTTGTTAAATTCTACAGTGATTAAATCCTTTGACTAATATATTTATTTTGTTGTTGTAGTTTATTTATAGGCCGCCCTTTTCCCTGAGGGGACTCAGGGCGGCTTACAGTCAGAAAAGGAAGGGGAGTGTAG